AAAATATTTGTCAAATTGCTTATGATGTGGACACATGTCATAAGCTTGATAACTTGTGAAAATTAAATAAACGTGATACTAATGGAATACCACAATTCATACCATTTTTTTGATAATTTTTACGAAATAGACTTGAATCTTTGCATTAAGTAGAATAACAAACTGTGAATCACATTTGTAACATTACTACATAATCCATCCACGCAATAACAAAAACTATGTATGATTTTCAATGAACAATCATAATTAATTACATAACTATTTTTGATCGCAAAACAATATTTTATAAATTAAATTGATAGAAAATACTTCGCCCTTATTTGTTTGCAACTTAAGTCAGTTTGAAATTATATTTATTGGTTTATGCAACAAATATCATCAGTAAAGTTAAAATTTTGTATAATTAAAAAAAAGTGATTAATATTATTGTTGTTTACTCTTTTATATAACTGTTGCAGTAATTATTGTCTTCATATAGACATAAGTAATCGAATATAAACTACATTAAATCAATGTTGATCATAAATAAACATTAATAATAATGTTTGATTTCTATAGAAATAAGTTGAATTGTAATGGTATTGAAAGTATAGTAAGATGTTAATGATAAAAAAATACCATGGTGATAGTTGGAGGAGTATCTGTTATACATCTTATTGGATTGGCACATCACAAGGGCATCTCGTTGAACATCACTTTGTCGAGCATCGGCGGCAACTGAGGTGAGATCTCAAAAATGGCATTAAAAATGATAGTGATGTCGACGAGGGGGACGACAGGTATCGGGGGTTCCCCTTAATCTCGGACCCATCCGAGTGGACATAACGGGGTTACAATGTGTATAGTTTTCATCCCCCGCGACAGCCTCCCGCCGCCGCCGATGCTTCCTCCACCACCACCCCGCACCCGACGAACGCACAGAAAATGCATACAAACACCGTTGCAAACAGCCATACATGAACACACCTGTGCGATGCGAAACGGACGGGGGGGAGGGCCGGACCACCTCCCACCATCCCTTCAGCAGAAAATCCACCCCCTCAACGCGTCCAATTAGAGCAATTGCACTGCCAATTTCAATTGATACTTGGATATTAAATAACACGGGCACAATTAAACTGATTACACTCGCTTTATTATTTCGTTTTTCCATAAACGTATGAACCAATAACAAAATGGATATGTTCTGGTAAAATATTTGTTATTTGATTACCAATACTTCAATGTTTACGCCCAGCGCATAAAATACCGTAATACTAATTTACGATCAGAATTTAGCGTTTAGATCTATCTCAGCAATAACTTTGATAGCTTAATATAAGAAAACCGCAAATATCACGAATTAGGAAGTAAACATTTTGTAAAGACCCTACAGCTTTATCTTTATTTTCCATGTTCAATGATAACATTAATGTACGTGGTAATCGAGTAATTAAATTAAAAGCAACTGAAGAAAAAAGTGTTAAAAATGCAACGTTAAATCTGATGAATGAATTTCATAAACAAATACAGTGGAAATAACTAAAAATTAAACAACAATAAAATTGAACTTCAATAGTTTAGTAATGAATAATTTGGACGGAAATTTTCCGGCATAGCTTGAAGTTCCACAATTGCAGAAAGCAGCATGTGAATTACGTAAGCACGAAAAAACAAATATTCCTCGAAAAAAAAAATTGAAAATCCTTAGACTGGAATTCAAGAAAGTTGTAATGCAAGCGCAAACTGTGTAACTAACTACTCGACCAGTTTCGAAACTTTGGTAATAGGCAATCGAATATTGGAACACCGTTCAGATTCGAGTCGAAATTTAAGTCCAGATATTACAATAAGCTTGGAAACACTACTACAAACTAGTTCAACAAAAAATTATTACATCGTGTCTTGTTTATGTTGAAGAGTTTTATTGTTCGTCATGAAAAATATATCCATGCTGTGCATTAAGTGAATGAATTTCCTAGATTATACTCGTATGTTAAATACAATCAAAGCTCAGTTAACGTAATTCACATTTTTTGGTACACAAGTTTCTGATTGTTTGCTTTCCGTATTTGACATTCATAGGAACGTACACTTTGTCATCGAATGTTTGATAGGAATGTGCGACTGTACATGATTTTTGAGTGAATTTGCGTTGAATGCGCATACATATTTCGCACGGGACACAATCCAAGGGATCAAATTAATCGTTTGAACTGAGTATCCGAAACCGCACCAAAATCACCATACACAATTAGAAATAATTGTACACGTTTGCATTAATATGCGCCCTTTGATGTTATTATTGAAAGCTGCGTCAATATCAACCTACATGCCGACTATTTGATGCGGAATTGGATTGGACACGTTGATTTAAATAGTGACCGGTTTTTTTTTTGTTTAATCAGAAGAGAGAACAAGAAAAAAAAAACTAATAATAGAAGACACGAGGGAGCTTAACTTATGTTGATTCCCTGCTGCAAGTAGGGTTCCTAATGAAATTGTTTATTGTTCTATTTTGGTTGAAGGGGTTGTTGCGTCGGTACCTGGGAAAACATACGATAGGTGGGCATTGTGAATCACGCTTGGAGGATGGGGGTGGTGATGTTCATAGTGAGCGCCGCCCGGACCGGATCAGTTTCCAATATAAAATTGGGGTGCTCGATGAAATGTATCAAATCTACAGGTGAGCAAAAGTGTGCTCCCTTTTGTGCGTTTCCGTTCCTAATGGGGAGTGTGTCCGTCCGGTAATAAGCAGAGATTAAAGGTGATTAGACTTGTTAGTCATCAAACTTTGGAACGGTATCGTTCGAGCGGAAAAGCCATTAATAAGTATCAAAGAATATTGCGAAAGGATGCAGAACTATATTGCAGGGCCTGCTTTTCTTCGGCACTAATCTGCTTCGGTTGTATGCAACTTGAATACGAACGATTTTTACTGCTTTATAACTTGGCACATAAAGTAGTAAAAATCCCCAGGCGAATTCAATTATTATTATACCCATCGTCAATCTTTGTATGTACAAATCCTCAAAACGAATATATCAAAATAATATTGTCAGCTCAACTTTTCTTGTGCATTGCATTAAAACCAACCAAAAATAAGATGATTTTATTCATATTTGCAATAAGTTTTTTTTAATTGTTATGTTTCACTGTTTTAATAAATATTATTTCATATTTTTTAGTTGTACAAACCCATTCATATTATTATTAGTTATGTTGTTCCTTAAAACATTATATTTCTGTATGAATAATGTTGTTTCCTATATTATTAAATGTTTAGCAAGAAATTATAAAGTGGTGTTGACTTAATTTGATCACAAATTCCTTTAGTATTATGTGAATCATGTTTTCCATCTTTCCCTAAATTTAGTAAAAGAACAATTCTATGTATTCTCTGTTCATGAAAAAATACTAGAAAATTTACAGATTTTTTTTAATCGAATATAATAAAATTCCAATGATTGATTCAGAATTTTATCTAAATGAAAGGTTATAATGTGTTCCGCAAAACCAAGTGCAATAACATTCTGATTGTGTTAATCTTAAGTCTTTTTGTTTTTTTTTACTGTTTACTCTATATTTTTATATGTGTACTAAATCTCAGTGTCTTCTGAAGGCTGCAAGAGGCTAATGCCCATACCGGCCAATAATAATTTATAATCTATATGTACATATTTTTTAAATAATAAAATTATTTTAAGATTCATGCTGTTGTAGAAATATTCAGAAAAATGAAAATTTAAACAACAATATTGAACTTTAATTATTATTGAATTAGAAAATAGAAAATTATCTAATTGTAATTAATTATTAACCCTTTCCAGCGCAGTGATTCCAATTAGAATCATTAATTTTTGAATACAATTTTGTCTTTCACCGAAACTATTGGATGCAACTAATGTAAATTGAAGTTACACGAATTTTTAACTATAGGTAATATTGAATATTGTAAAAAAACATGTAAGATGTTTTATATCATTAAGTAAGTACTTTTATAAAAATTTGAATAAAACAAAAAAAAATGAAAATAAATTTGGGCTGAAAAGGGTTAAATGATTAATTATGTTTATTTATTTACTTTAAATAAATCATAGATATTAGCTGATGTGGAAGTAAATTGATCTAAAGTAGAAAATCTCAAATAATTCTAACATTAATGTATTTTTAAACCTTTAAAACTCAGTGGTTTCAAGGTGGAACCACGAACAAAATTGTTTTCTAAATTTTTACGAAAAATAAAAAATGTTCGTATTTCCTACTGGTACATTAATGGACAGGTGTTGTTTTAAAAATCTATAAATCTGTGTTTTGTTTATAAATTTTGTATTAAAAATCCAAAAAAAACATTCTTGTGAATAATAAAAAAAATATCTTCGTCCTCAAAGGGTTAAAGTAAATTGAAATAAAGTGTAAATAAAAACATTGATTCATATTAAAAGCGGATAATACTTTGGACAGCGCATATTAATAATTTACCGTCGGATTGTATGAGGTCGGTTTCCGCACGGACTAGTCAATCGTACATGAAAAATTCATACAACTAGTTTTTTTCTTTTGTTAGCAAATGGTTAAACATGAAGATATTCATGTTCTGAATAACTTAACTTGTCTACTGTGCTTACCTACTGTAGGCTGTACAGGTGTTAGTGAAGCGTAAGACCTAGCTGTGGCTTCTGTTAGCGTTAAACCAAAAAGAGAAAATTGGCAAATTTGAAAGAATCGGTTAGTACATCGGTGCGGCCTACTCTTAAGTTATGGTAAGTAACAAGGAATGGTATGGATCGTCGGATCCTCGATCTTACCGGTAACTGTGATGAAGTGCGGCGAGTCTTCTTCGAGGGCCAAAGGGTCGGACTCGTGAACGTCGACCTGGTTCTCACCGGTAGCTGTACTTTCGTTGCTCGAATCTGCAGCCTGTTCCAATGCAGAAACATCAATCACTGGGACACCATTTGCATTCACGATCGTCCCCTGAAAGACCAGAAGAGAAAACGGAAAAACTTTACATATGGACAATTCGAAACAATACCAATTTCATTCAACAATCACTTCTTCCACTATCCAATTAAATTATATAACAATCATCCAAAAATTTATTAAGACAAATTTATCATTTAATCAAGTAACAGTTTTTATAATTAAAATTGTAATACTAAATTTAATTATCTGGGAATATAAAAGGAATAAAATAATTTATTATGTATATTTTAATGTGTCCAATGTAGATCCAAGGTTTTCCATGTTATACAAATATCAATAGTTCGTCGAAAGCAAACAAAAACGTGTCAATATATTTCTTAAAGATTTCTAAAATAGTGTTCGAATTGTGGTGAGGTGAAAGTAAAACTATTTACTGTAGCAATTACATAGAAAAAAAGATGTTAGTTAAATTACGTTATTGTTTTAAATGCAAGTTATAAGAAAATGATGCGTAAGTGACAGTGTGGCTTTAAGGAAAATGAAAAGAAAACAGAATAAACATAATTTGCAAGAAGATCAATCAGGTTTATTGTAAACTTACATTACTGTTTCATAAATCCTCTAAAAAAAGTGAACTAGATCACCAAGCACACACACATACACTTTTAATAAAAATATATATATGGAAACTGAGCCGGATTCAGCTTTAAAATGTATTGATCTTACTTTCCTGAGGGGATATCAAGTAAAGAAAGATAGGAGAGCCAGGCCGGGATGCATGGCATTCTGCAGGAGAGGAATGAAAAAGTAGGATGTGTGTGAGAGTGAATATTGACAGAGTGGGAGCAGGATGCAGAGTATGTTGTTACCTGGTGTAGACTGGCAGGCAGCACAATCAGTTGGGTGGCCTGGGCTTGCACCGGGGGTGTAGTGGCCGGTGCTGGGGTTGGTGGGCTGCTGCCTCCTCCTGATGCTGCGAACCGAGCTGCTGTTGCCATGACTCTATCTCCACGGCTACACCTGCCCTCTGAAATCCAGGACCAATCAGAATTTAGAGTTTCACTCTCGCTCCACATCATTCCACACTTATCATTATTGTACTGCTAATCATTATTATCCCTTCCGAAAGCCTTCCACACACACAAACACTTATATTTGTATATATTTCGAAGGCAATTAGGGAATAGGGGAAACTTTTCATACTTGCATTGTTTCATACCAAAAAATTAAATCTAATATAGTTGTTGGTAATATATTAAACTTTACAATTAATTTCACATCAAATATTTATGTATAAAAGTTCAAATAAATTCCAAATGTGTTTATTTTTGTATAATTTATTATATAATTATTAATATTACATCAATATAAACAACTATACTGATATAGTAGTGGCAGTTTAAAAACAAACTTAGTGCAATTATCAATATACTTATTACATAACAAAATTATATAATTATTGGAATATTATGTGAAATGTTGAACATAATTAACTAACTTAGTTGTAATAAAGTTCTAATAATTTTCAAAAGTTCAGTAAATAGTTTACATCCAATTAGAATTTAGGAGTTTTTCATATTAGTATCTGGAAAGTAAATAAATCATACAATATGTAATTTGTTTTTATAAGTAATAATTATTTTTTAAAACATTTTAATTGTATATATATTTGCTTTTATATATTTTGTGTTTAAAATATAAATGAAATGTAAAACATGAACATTTTTGTATGATTATAATAAATGTATTAAGCATTTATGTATTTAGTGGGAATTCAATTCAATAAATGCATTCGAAAATCGGTTGAATCTGGACAATGTGAATTAAACAATGCGAGCAACAATAGGAAGCGGGTTTAGTTACCTAGGTTTTATGGTTTCCAGCGAATTGGATGCACTTGATTCGAGCACATGTGATTAAAATTGTGTGTACACAGTAGAGGAAAGCATGAATGGAAACTAAAACTGTATGCAACAAAACATAACAAAAATAAACCAGCAGACGCACATCAACCCCACATGCAAGCAAGCGGCAACCCTACCTTAATACCCCCACGCACCTGAAACAAGGCCCTAATTGTACCGGTGTTAAAAGTGTTACGACACGACTATCAATGCACCTGGCTCTATTCTCTCTTACTGTTTCCGCATTCAAATGCGGTACGCAATGGTTTATTACATAAGGGCGAAACGCATTTCCGCGCGTTTTTTTTGTTTTGTACGGAATTATAATTACATAGATTCACCTGGCTTTAATCGAGCCACATGACTCAGACAAGGGGAGAAATGTTACAAAAAAAAAATATATATATTGGAAACGTATGGGGAAAACGTGCTTTTTGGGGGGTTGCAAGTTGGTGATTGGTACAAGCTGGTACTGAGGAATTTTAACTTAACTGCAGCTGACTGAGGGATGATTGGAAGGCAAATCAATGATAATAAGAAAATAATAAATAAATAAATATATTAATGTATAAACATATTTGCAATGCTTCTGTGCAGAAAGTCCTCTCAATAGGCCCACGAACCTGTAATTATCAAGTGAAAGGGACAGAGAGCGAAGCAGAGGAGAAAGTGATTGCTATAGCGACTAGCCATGGTAACAGAGGTATTGGGAGGGTTGGATTTCTCTGGCTCGAGATCAATGCTTGTTTCCCTCTTGCTGCCAAGACTAAGACAACACACCTTGAAATAAAAACAAGCAAAGCTGATTCAGAGCACAAATTTTTATATACACAGGTAACAAAATAAATATGTTCAGAGAGAAAAATGCAATTTCAATCCTCCTTATCTCAAAAAAAAATCTGTTACAGCTTACTGGGGGTCAATTCAAGTGGATTATCTTGTATATCAAAAGGAAAGAAAATTCTTTGGGAACCTCCAGATGTGGGTTTAGAATGAGGACTTTCGAAAGGTATTTTTAGAATCTAAGCCCTCCCTGTGCATTAATTGAACAGTTATTACTGTGATACTTGATACAAATTACTTTGCAAAGAAAATTATTGCTCCCCCACCAGCACAGACAACCCCACTTTGGAAACTAATTTCATCTCTCTTTGATACCAAACTAATTAAACAGATAAGGTTTATATATATATATATTTGTATGTATATAAATAAAAAAGGTGTTTGATCTTTTGTAGAAGTAGAAGTACTTTTCTTTGAGATTTGCAGGAAATAATCAATATACAGCATAGAAAAAGGATGTTGAATTTTTTAGTGATACTTGTGTTCAGAGGGTATTGGAGGGACACAGGTGGCTATTATGATGATTGTTGATGGGGATATCCTGGGGGGAGCCATTTGTAAATTTTTGATATCAACAATTAGCGGAAAAAACTGGATGGGGATTTGGGGGTAAAAAAAATGGAAATGCCGAGCGTGCGGGGCTCCCAAAAAACGAGAATAAATGTGGATGTGGGGGAGTGCGTGCATGGGAAACGACAAATTCTAACCAGGCTAGTGCACAAACGAGCAAAAACACAGAAAAATTAAATCTCCTAGACAAAATTACCTATGTTGCTATGTTGTTGTATCGGTTGCTAAGCACTAAGCAGTCGCCAAGGATACCAGAGGACATAAATTCCTGGATGGTTTTGACAGCTGCCAGATATTAGATGGGTCCAAAGCCGTCTTCAACGGCCATCGTCCATGGGTCCTTACAAGTGTGGTCAGGGCATAATTCTGTCCTTACTGGGCCCCTCACTCTTCACACAACACGCCGCCGATTACGGATTATTATAAAGTAATTTATTTATTGATTAATTCACTTCGGCCGAACCTTTTAATTCCTACAGCCGGCAAAACAGTATTCTACAGATGACAACCTAACCATCGGACTGCATCAGACCAAGCCCACTCCAGCTGGTCATAGCTTTCTACGTTGGATCTAATGGTTGATTTTCAATAAGACCTAATCATTTTAGCAACATCTGCATTTGTTTGTAAACCTAAATCCATCAAAGCGAATCATTCAAAATTATCCACATAAAGAAAGTCCTTGAACCAGAGCTATTGATCAGCAGATGGTGCTGTTTTATTTTCATACAAAATTATGAAACTGTTATCAACCGGTTATCAATAAAGCAATAAACAACAACAATTTCTTTTTTTTTTGTTGCAAATTTATCTGTAAAGGTCCTTAATAGATCAAGAAAATTGTTCTTCCTCAACCTTACAAAATTGATTGATTCTACAAGTATACATTTAAATACAATAGTTTAATAGACTTATTTATTTTTAAATAGTTGTTTACAAATATCTTTTCACACTTTAATATATTAATCCGATAAGATTATGATGTTAGGCAACCAAGCAAACGTTTCAATTCAAAATCAAGATTTAAGAATAGTTACGTGAATGAAAACCAGCAAATATAAATAAATATATGTGTTAGGTATTTTATAATTCACAAATTATGAAAATTAAGCAATAATTAGCATTATACCACTTGGATAATTCATCAATAGTATAAGCCAATTAATGACTAGTAATTGTGTTATTAAGAAAAGATAATTAATGTAAACAACACACTTATTCAGACAACCTTCGTCAAAATCATTCATTGTAAGATTGCAGCACGCAAATCAATAAAATGTGTATTTTACTGAAATTATTCAAAATATAATGTAACCAATAATTATTTAATTAGTTTTATTTTCAGATGATATAAACTAATAATCAGATAATTACGCAATACAATAGAAATTTTTTTTTCAAGATGATTTTATAAACACGTTATAGGCAACTAAATGTACATGTATCGTTAGAATACAAGGGACAACATTTCTTTATATTGAAAAATTGCAAAGGGATCACAGTTGAAATTATTTATATATATTATGGGTTTAAATCAAAATTTGTTATCTAAAATAAAATAAAAGTGTATTAATATGTGTTATATTTCAGTAGAATTGTGATGAAAAAGAAAGTGTGCATTTAATTATTGATTTTATGTGAATTATATATTTTCGGTGGCAATCGCTTTCCCGATAACCGAAATACCGTCAATCAAATTCCCGACCTTCGAAATCCCGACTGTATCGAAATCTCAAAAATATCGAAAATGTCTACAATAACATTTTTAAATTATATATGCGCTCCGGTAGTGACTTTTAAATTATTAATAATTAATACTAACAATTAATAATCTAATTGTATTTGAGATTATTTCATAATGTTAAGGTTTATTATGAATAATTCAGCAAAATCAAATAAATTAATAATGATTTATTGTTATTAATAATAAAACTGTAGCACAAGGTGACTACGCTCCGAAATAATTAAAAAATGTTATTGCAAAAATTTTCGATATAGCCGAGATTTTGATACAGTCGGGAATTTGATACAGTCGGGATTTTGATATAGTCGGGATTATGGTTGTCGAGATTTTGATATAGTCGGGATTTCGAACGTCGGGATTTCAATAGACGGTCTTGCGGTTGTCAAGCTTGCGATATAGACCCATATATTTTTGGTATTGGAAAGATGATGATGATGAAAATTTAATTTGTGTTTTCTAACTTAAAAGTAGATGTCGCGAGTGTACGTTTCACAAACATATGCAATTGATTGTTCTTCTCATCCGAAGACCAATTGTATTCCTTAAAGGTACACAGGTTTTAAATTCAGGGTTTTCCATTGGTTCTAATTCCAACTTGTAATACAATTTCAATAAAATAAATTTTAATAAATTGACTCACGTGAATGAATCCAATTGATGTGTGCGTCGTTTAGGGATCGATTCTCGAAACGTCTTGGAACGTCCAATAATCCGTTCACAGGGAAAACAAGTTCCGGACTTCGGGGATCTTCCTCGCTTGGTAACAATTTTTACTGGACGTTGTTGTCAAAGTGACGATACAGTTTTGTTTGTCTCGTAGATTTCATAAACCGACTGCGCTTTTTTTTGTTATTGTTAAAATCGAAAACAAAAAAGGGACAACTCGGACAAATCATGAACTATTTAAGATATTCAAATATATTTATTTGCAGCTAAATGAAATACAATTGAATTATATATATTTACAATTGTTTTAATTTTTGAATTTTATACTGACAATAAGTAGTTAGAATAGTCGATTCTAGTTCTTTAAGTTATGATAAAAGTTAAAATAAGAAGAAAATTCAGTTTTCAATGTTATTTTATGCAGTATAATAAAATTAATTAATTATTGGAAATAAACATTATCATATCACATTGGATTTATAATAACAAACATTGAATAATTACTCCTTCAGTTCTAGTTCATAGTTTTACATGAAACAAATGTAAATTCTTTATAAATTAGAGAGTTTCTTATAGATGGCGCTGTAAATGTAAGCCTTTATTATCAACTGTCAGAATTTGAAATTGACGTGGATTTTTTTAGTTAATATTATTTTTGTTTGGTTATTGGTATAACAAATTTCTTTCACTTCAACAGTTATACAAATGGTCACTCTAATTACTTTTTGAGAATTCAATACTAGCCGCAGACGTCCATGAACAACAGGGAATTGCCTGCACATTTCTAATATTTATAGTCAGATTATTATGAAACACAGTAGATGATTTCACAGTAGTTACATCACATTGTATGCAACCAAATGTACATGCACTATTGGAATACAAAGGAAAAATTACTTTATATAGAAAATTTGTGAAATTGCACAAGAAACGCAAGCTAAGTGAAACGAGAATAAAAAAGAAAATTTGTGAGTTTTTCCCTTTCACAAATTTTCTTTTCTTCTCTTTTAAAACATTAAAATAATATTTTTACTATTTATGTATTTATTATGGGTTTAAATCAAAATTGATTATATAACATAAAACAACATGTAACTATCTACACATTTCAAACATTTTTCATATAAGACTGCAGAATATTAGTGTATATTTGGTTGCATACCCAAAAAGAGTCAGTAGTGTAGATTTTTTTATTATGCTTTTTTTGATATAACTATTGTTACATAATCATAATTATTAAGCTTACAAATGTTCGAATTTAGAACTATTGTGCTTCATTTGTTATAACATTGATATTACGTGAATTAATTATCATTGTTTTTAATCTTTACATTTCTTTTAATTACTCTAGAAAAACACAAGCATATTACATAATTCAAAATGATACAAATATAGACTTTCCTATAGGCCTACTACCAGATCTGTGCTTTGACTAATTCGTCTGTTAAATGTCAAATTTGAGCTATACAATACGAGTTTCAAAAGTAGTGTCTTCACGTTTCATTTAATTACTCTATGAAAACGTACACTAATTACATCATCAAATACGAAAATTAAAGATACAATTGAGGACTATTCAATGAACGTAATAGTAAATATGTGGCGTGCACTATTCGCTTGTTATAAACTGTCAAAGTTGAATATGCACTGTCTTCACATTTTATTTAATTACTCAAAAATCACGCATGCTAATTACATAATTGTTTGTAAACATTACGACCTATAAGATTCTCCAAAATTTCCTTTACTAAAATTTCAACTTTGAGTAGAATATTGACGATTTTTTTGATAACTTTATTCAAATAAGTTTTCTGATTTATTATTTACGATTTTTTATTGATCCTAATTTGGGACAAAGTATTAAGCATTAAAGTCTTTGAGATTTTTTCAAAATTACTCGAATTAAAAAAAAAATGCAACTTTGTATTTATTTTATTTTTTATTTCTAGTCTTATCATATAACTTCTGTTACGTAATATAAATTAAATGCTTATTAATTAATGACGTTTTTTTTGTTTGTAACATTTCAAAAAGAAAGTGTATTGTGTTTTCTATAAGTTTCAGAAATGAAAAGTAGAAAGTTTACGGTGGTGAGAAACGGATGAAAAGGAAATTCACTTCACTTTCGGTCAAATCAATTAACGTAACATAATACTCTGAAGCGGACGGTCATTATGTACCTGGGGAATTTTCACAAACTCCGAACGGACGGACGGACGAACGATGGAGGAGGATAGCCCATTAATTTACAAGCTACTTAAGAAGGCGGCCACCAGAAAAGAGAACTTAATGCCCTTTTGTAACGCGTTTCCTTTCTTCTCCTTTTCCTCATATTTTTTTTTTCTCTCCGCCTTCGCTCTTCATCGTCCACCCTCCGCTTCACGACCTTGAAACTGAAATTATTATTTGTATTATAATAAATCTAGTTAGTGGAAAAAAAAGGGCTCACGATTCACACAGAAGAGGGAGAGTGGAAGAAAAAAAAACACAAGAATACAGCAACATAATGACTTGAGAACAGGAAAGTATAAAACTTGACATGTGTTAAATGTGTATATAATTTTTATGCCTCGAATCGAAAGTGTGTATCTGTTTGGGCCATTTTTTTTGTTGTTGCTTCTTCTCCCTTTTCTTCAAACGATCGTTTGTATAATCTGTGGAGAATCTGCGTTTACGATATTTCCTTCAAAATCTGGACGAGTGGTTCGAAATGAAGGGTTTTTCATGAAATGTTTATTTATTTATTTTTTTTTGCAGCCGAATGTTTTAAATCATTTCATTCTGTATGCGTTGATATGTTTATGAGTTAGTTTAGATTTATTTCTTATATATACATTTGTTAATTGCAATAGATTTGTTTAGTCCACTGAAGACTAAATTTATACCGAAAATTAAAAATTTATTACTTCCATTTTCTAAAAGCATCTGCAGATGTTAGGTTTTCTATACTATTTGACTAGTAAAACATAGTTCTCTTTGATAAACAATACCATTCAAGTACTATCCGCAGCACACCTTGCTTAACTTTCGGAAGCTGTTAAACATCTTTCAAGTATAAAATTAAAGTCATAAGAGTGTTTTTAATGTACATAAGTTCATTATTTTCCAAACAAATTATTTAAGTTACTTAAACACATATACTTACTATTTAGTTATTATTTAGAGTAAATCAGGTTAAACTAAAAACACGACGATTATTCGTTACAAAACTAACCTCAATTGCAATAAATACAATAATTGTCAACACATACATCATTGATGCCAACTATGAAATTAATAATCCCTACTTTCTTGCTTTTGTCCCTAACTTCTATTTAAGATATAGAAAAATTTGTAAGAT